AAAAAAATAGATACAAAATTTAGCGAAAAAATAGGTTCATTATACTAGGTAAATTGTTTTACTAGGTACATTATTAGAGAAAAAAAAATAGATACATTATTTGGAGAGAAAAAATAGGTTCATTTTTTTAAAAAAATTGTTTTCATAAAACAAACAATAAAAAGATGATCAAATTATTTTTCATAAAACAAGTAATAGGTGCTTTATTTAGAGAAAAAAAGAGTACATTATTTAGAGAAAAAATAGGTTCATTTTAAAAAAATGTTTTTCAAAAAACAAACAATAAATAGATTATCAAATTATTTTTCAACATAATTAAAATGTACACTATTATTCATAAAACTGTAATAAAATGGATTACTAGTCGTATAATTCATAAAAGGAAAACAACATTAATTCAAAAATAGATTACTAGTGGTAAAATACATTACTAATACGTTAATGTTGAATTTAATATTTAATTTCAAATAAGTTTCCAAATTAATTCCTACATCCATTACAACCATTTGGTGATCTTTCCAAATTCAACGTGTGTCATTAATTACACCCCCAATAACACATTAAGTCATAAATATGGGTAGTTTTGGAATCCGAAAAATACAATAAATCAGATTTTAGGTTATATTAGGTAACTTGCTTAGTTGGATCCTAGTCATCGGGTATTATTTGAAAAAATTGGGTATTTTAAATAGAAAACTAAAGGAAAGGGTTGTAGGTGATTTAAAATGAATTTTATGGGTCTAAGCTCAATTTACTATAAATAATATGTTGTTAACGGGTCGGAGTCATTCTATAGTGAGGGCTTATCTAAAGTTCTTAGTTGAGATCATATCTCTTAATTTTTGGATCAAAACTAACCAATTTGGATCTACGGTTAAGAGATAGGGTCTCATCTAAAGCCCTCACTATACAACTCTTGAACATGGTATAGTTCAGTGAAAAATGGCATTGACTTGCAAACCAGAGGTCTCATATTCAAACCCCTATGACATCTTGGTTGTGTATGCGTGTGACAGACTTCCCTTCTCATGTGGTTTAGACTATCGCTTGTATTAAAAAAAAAATGTGTATTTTTATTAATTAATATTATAGCTTTAAATATAAACTCGTCGTTCATTCATTGTTGAGATTTTTTTTTAAAGGCTTTATTGACACGATAGTTGTTAGACTACCCAAAAGAGGGTCCATCAAGCCTTCATATCGAGAAAGACTTTCAAGAAATGGTGATAACACTATTTTGCTATCTTTGGCCAATAACACTATGATATACGTGATAACACTTCTACGTGACATAACATTATTGGTCGAATATAGCAAAACAGTATTATTACCGTTGCAAATAAATTTTTCTCCTTCATATCCCCTATTTTTTGATGTTAAAAGTCACCAGGCTCAAAACAACACAGAGAGAGTGTGGATCTTAGGGAATGTTGTGTCTTTAATGTCTCCTTGAGCTAACAATGGAAAAGAAGTTCAATAAATGAGTTATGTTGGAAAAGGGTGGCATGAGAGTGATGAACTGTCAACTGTGGTAGCTAAAGACCCACAAGTTTAGCAAATAAGAATACACGTATTTTTCTTGATGTTGGCTATGCTTGGTTTTATGAACGTTTGTAAGCGATTTTGATGGTGGGTGATGGCCGTCCCATGGTGATCGGAGGGTTTCAAAGTGTAGGAAGAGCGGAAAGCTTGAGACTTATAGTTTTGATCTCAGCAACAGCTGGGAGAGAGAGTTTTTCTCATGGCATGCAGTTGATGGTTCCCCTTAATAAGTTTTCCAGTAAATCGTGTGATGTTGAAATGTATATGTCAAAAATACTTGATAGTA